CATCATGGAACCTTGTATCTTTTGACTAATGTATATTTTTTTTTGGTAAGTAAGACTCCGGGTGTCTTTCTGTATCTGGTATGTTGTTGGGTGTAGAAATCCAGACTCTACTATGAGGTACTGGCAAGTTCTCAGAAGGTGTTTTGGAAAATCACCATCAGGTATTTGTGGGGGAGAGGCTGCTGACGAGTCCGCTGGCATCAGCCTTCTCGGGGAAGAGCATCTTGGCAGTTCACTGACTTTGTGAGGCCGCAGGAGCGTTGGCACTCTGGCGCTTAATGTGACGCTGATTCAGGGGCCTCAGTTACCGTGGCAAGACCTCCGCTTGGTTACTGTTCTTTGCAAAGAACAGTTGGTTTTGTTCCTAGTTTTCATGAGTTTGGGTGGAGACCAAGACTGCTTTAGATATTATTTTACTAGCAATTTAGCAGGACTGTATAAATAACTGCCTGGTGAAGGAGGAGGGGGTGGCAAGTCAAGCACAGAGAAGCATGAGGCCTTGGCCGTCCCTTTAAGCAGCCTAGTTCTGTTCGTGTATAATTACCTGCACCATCTGGTGTCGGGACCAATTTATTAAGCACAGCACGGTCTCCGCGGGGGACCCTCAGTTGTGGTTGATTGAATTAAATTGGGAATTAGTCGTATTGGATGGAGAAGGAAATGGCAACCCACTCCGGTATTCTTGCCTGGAGAATTCCACGGACAGAGGAGCCTTGCGGGCTACAGTCCATGGGGTCACAAAGAGTCGGACACAGCCGAGCGACTTAGAACAGCGTTAAGTCAGACACAACTGAGCGATTAACACACAGTCTTATTGGAAAGGCCAAGTTCTTTTTTTAAAAAACAGCTTTCTTGAAATATAAATTTAATACTGTACAAAATAAAGTACGTAATTCAATGACTTTTTGTATTGCAGTATTAGCTTTTGAAAAATATGGTAAAAATGTTTATAACAAATTGTCATTTAAACTGTTTAAAGTTTTAAAAATTAAAATATTTATAATACTCATAACATAGAATTTGGGCTTCCCGGGTGGCTCAGATGGTAAAGAATCTGCCTGCAATGCGGGAGACCTGGATTCGACTCCTGGGTTGGGAAGATCCCCTGGAGGAGGGCATGGCAACCCACTCCACTATTCTTGCCTGGAGACTCCCATGGATGGAGGAGCCTGGCGGGCTGCAGTCCATGGGGTCGCAAAGAGTTGGACACGACTGAGTGACCACGCACAGCACGGTATAAAACTTGTCATCTTAATCATCGTTAAGCACTGAAGTTCATGGTCATGAAGTCCATCCACGTTGTTGTGGAGTCGTCGCAACCATCCATCGGCAGAACTCTCCTCTTACAAAGCTGAATCTTCACGCCCATTCTTGCCTCCTCCGCACCCTGTTCCCGGAGACCACTCTTTTGCTTTCTGTCTCTATGAATTTGAGTATTCTTAAGTGCCCCCACATAAGCAGAAGCGTACAGTATCTGTCTTTTTTTGTGTGTCTGGCTTATGTCACTGAGTGTCACGTCTTCAGGTTCGTCCGTGTGGTAACAGGTGTCAGAATTTCCTTCCTGTATAAGACTGAATAATAGTCTGTTGTGTGTATGGACCACCTTTTGTTTATCCATTCGTCAATGGACATCTGAGTTCTCTTTTTTGGCTAATGTGAATAATCCTTCTGTTAACATCAGTGTACAAATATCTGTTGATGTCCTGAAGGGCCAATTTCGGATTTGTAGGTCCCTACAACTCAGTAAATTAAAAAAGAATTTGGCTTATGTTCTGAGAAAATTTCTTTTGCTGTGCATTGTCAGAGGATATTCCAAGTGCTTATTTTCTAAATGATTTGATGGCGCATTTGGTTAAGGAAATTCTGGTTGTCTCTGTGACCTCCTCTTAAATATTAATGATGCTTCCCTGTTTTCAGTGGAAAGTGATGAGGGGTAGTTGCTCTAACAGCTCTTTTGAGGTTCACAAATTTCTTCAACAGAGATAGAGGCGGGGCTCTTGTTAGAAAGGATAATGTCTAGTCATTCATATGTGGTCAGTAACCTGCACAAAAATCACTTGGTGTAGCAGGGATAAGATAGACATGTAGACATCTTGTCGTTTTGTGGAAGGGAACAATGAAAACCCAAATACTTAAACACAACCCCATTAAAACCCTATTTAGGGACTTCCCCAATGGTCCAGTGGCTAAGACTCGCCTGCTTTCAATGCAGGGGGCCTGGGTTCAAATCCTGGTCAGAGAACTAGATACCCCATGCTGCAATTAAAAAAAAAAAAAAGATCTTGCATGCCACAACTAAGACCTAGTGCAGCTAAATAAAGAAATGAAATAATACAAAAAATAGAAACCATACTTAACTCATTTCTCAAAATGTGCTTAAAGAAATATCTTCTTATATGGGTGTATTTGATGTATAGAAATTGGGTAAAAATATTAGAAGGAAATTTTCTATTTTACTAAATTTATCTGTGTACACCTGTTGGTAATTGACTAAACATATTGTCAAACATATTGCACCTTTTCTAGTTTCCTTGTAAAACTTTCTTCCTTGTGTTAAATGAAGAGAAAAACTCCTCTAGTGATTTTATCCAACATCATGGAGACCACATGTCCTGAATTGCAAACTCATGCCCCACTTACGTGCTTTTTTGTTTTGTTGCCTTGAAAACTGGGGTTGTCATCTTGGTTCCCCAGCCTCTCCCATCCATGCCTGTCTGGGGACTTTGGGAGGAAAAGTGCGTCGCAGTTTATTCTGATAATTTGATGTATTTATGTCTTCACAGCTTTTTCTTCTTTGTTGTTCAACCACCTCTCTTTAACATACTCATTTCATTTATCGGGAAACATTTATTGAGCTCCTGTTATGTTTGTAGCCTGGTCTAGGCATGAGGAAGGAAGGAATAACAGAAGGCAAATCCTTGCAGTGAGCTGGCCGTCCAGTCACTCGCCTGGGAATGTCAGCAGTGGCATTTTATGCTCTCTCAGCATCCGTTGTTATCAAAGGGGAAAATGTCATAAGCCAGGGGCTGCTTTTCCAGAATGTATCCGTGAGAAAATTCTCACAATCTCATCTTCCACGAGAGGCTTGTTTGTGAGTTTACATATTCAGTTAAATGTGAATTGTTCTTTAGAAGCATTTTCTTCTTGAGATTTAATTCATTCAGACTCTGCTCAACCCAGAGGATGCCTGCATCCTTCTGTAGTGGAGAAGGTGTCACACCTGGCGGCCAGTTAACTGCTATGAACAGCCTGCCCTGACAGGCCAGATGTGGCTTTGGGTCAGTCAAGTCCAGAATGAGGACTTGAACAGTTTCACTGGAGAAAAGTGCATTTGTGACCTCAGAGCTGACCTAGGTGTGACCCTGCAGAGTTCCAGTCCCACCCCCAGGAATACCTGTAGAGTTGTGGGGTCACCCCTGTCCTGGGAGTTAAGCTGTTGAAAGTGCGAAGTGTCTGAAAGGATGAACTGGTTTCTCCTGGGGTTCCCACTCTTGTCTTTAAAAGCTTCTCTATTTGAAAGGAAAGAGGCCCAGAGTCTCTTTTGTAAACCACAGTCTCTTTCTTTGTTGTCTTCTCAGGAGGTTTTTTTCTTTTCTTAGACTCACAGCCTCCTTTGGAGGATGAGGTTGGGTGTCTATAGTTACCTAGAAGGATGAATGAAGATCAGACCTACTGTATAATTTACATACATCTCTGTGTAAGCTCCCAGCGAGGCTGTGTGGCCATGTTCCATATTTCTCTAGAAAGAAAAAGAAATTTTTGGACAAGCCAGTTGCAGATCTTCTCCAAGAGTTTGTTACATCAGAGTGGTTAAAAAAGGAAGGTCTTCCAAGCAGGTGCATGTTTATTTGGGGTCAGTCTTGGTTTAGTTCTGGATCTTCCTAACTTAATAAAAACAGAGCATTCTTAGTTAAGAATTATCAGAAAGCTCTAGGATTTTTAAAAAAACTATAGTTGGTTTATAATATATTACTTTTCAGATTACAGCATAGTGATTCAATATTTTATAGCTTATACTCCTTTTAATGTTATTACAAAATAATGGCTGTATTTCCCTGTGCTGTACAATATATCTTTGTTGCTCATCTCTTAAAGCTCTATAGTTTTTTCTTTTCTTTATTGGAGAAGAAAATAAAAATCTTACGTTCTTATTTTGAACATCTGAATTTTCATTTTTATTGTTTATGTCAGTAATAAAAATTAGTGATAATTTGTTCCATTATCTTTTAAAGTGTAAATTAAAAGAGTAGTGGAGTTGAGTCCTATTAAATTGTATTTTTCTTAGGACTGAATTAGAGAAACAAAGTTTTAGTCTCCTTGGTGGAGCCCCATAGTCCAGCTGTCTGCTCTGCCTTATTTTGTTGGCTCTGGCAAGGAGCAGAGTTATTATTTGGGTTCTGTCTAAATCTGTAGTTTGACATTCATGTCCTTGTGGTCACCAAGCTCTTCTTTTTCCGTAAACTAAAGGGCAGCAAACAACCCGTAAAAAGCTACAGTTGTGTCTTCATCATGAAAACCCCATTAATTAGCAGCATGGGGTTATTATGTTGGCTGGACTTGATGATGGCGGTGTTTTTTTCCCCTTTAGAGAAATGAACAAACAAAATCTTCACTTAGTAAGAGCTTGTATTTGGTTTTAAGCCTTTGCAGGGGTGTCCCCCAGAACATCCACGAGTGTGGTGATTTGCCAGAAGGGCTCACAGCGTCAGCATGTGACCACACGTACCCGGGGGCAGGTTACAGTGACTCGGTGAGGCTTGTGTGATCTTCGGTGCTGTCCATGAAAGATAGCCAGGCTGCCCCTCCCGAGCAACAAACACTGCAGCTGCGGGCAGAGCCTTCTGCCCAGAGAAGCCCATTGGAGTCTGAGTTTGGGCTTTTACTGTGGGGATGGTCAGGAAGGCCTTCTCTGCCTAGCAACCCCACTGAAATTCCAGCCTCCCAGAAGGCAAGCAGATGTTCACCATAAATCACATTGTGCAAGCAGCCTGGACACAAACCACCTTATCAGTTAGGAGACGCTGCCCTAACTGACTGTGCTGAGGGAGCCTCGCACAGTCCCGGGTTTCCGGACACGAGCCAAGGGCAGCAGCCGTGGGCCTGCAGTGGAGCGCTTCCCTGCACCGGATTGCACTTCGTTCTTGTAAACAGCCCGCAGCAACACCCCAGGCTCTGATGGGGAAAGCAGTGTGACCGTCCCTCTGCACCGTCATCGGGATCAGACTTGGCCTTTGGTAGAGGTACCTGGAGCCAAAGATGAGAAACCGCAAGGGTTCTCGACTTCTATTTTCAGAAATCTCGTGAGCCCAGTATTTTAAAACTGCAGCCCGGTCTTCATCAGGGTTCCATTTTGCAGAGGCAGGCTTCTGAAGTGGTCGGGGTTGGGCGTCGGTACAGTTTAAATTGGTTTTATTGTCGGTGGTTTTATCTCCATCTTCCTGAAGAATCGCACCTGTGGGTGAATGTTCTAGGAATAGCTCTTACTTCTCTGATACTTCGTTATTGAAGCTTACGGGCTGAATTTCTTGGGACACAGAATTGGAATGGAAGGAAGAGCTTCATAGAGTGCTTACAGTGTCGCTTTTATAAATTAACCCAGTAGCTTTAGAGCCAGTTAAGACAATTAAGACAACTTAGAAGTTATGTTTTCTTCTTTTTTAAATTCTAAACACTCAAGTGAATGACACAGTTTTAGGTAGGTAAAGAAATAAAAATGATGGAGTGATGAAGGAACGGGGAGGGCAGGACAGTGCCCATTGCCTTCCTGTGAAAAGACGTCCTCTGCAAAGATTCCCAAACCCTCCCCGAATGGTGAAGCATCACCTCCGCCATCACTCCGTTAGTGTGGTTTCACCTGGTGTCACTCGGACTGAGGACTTGAGAAGAGGGGCTGCAGCCAGCACTTGTGGGGAAGGGATGAAGCATCCTTCTTCCTGGGGGCATCCTCAGGAGTCACCCGCCAGCCTGGGGCCTGAGTGAGTGAGTGAAAGTCACTCAGTCGTGTCCGACTCTTTATGACCCCGTGGAATAGTCCATGGAATTCTCCAGGCCAGAATACTGGAGTGGGTCGCCGTTCCCTTCTCCGGGGGATCTTCTCAACCCAGGGATTGAACCCGGGTCTCCCGCATTGCAGGCGGATTCTTTACCAGCTGAGCCACCAGGGAAGCCTGGGGCCCACGAGTCAAGAATCCCTCTGCCATGAGCACGGTCTCCATCTTCTGTAAAATGGACGGGCGTTGCTTCTGGCTGTGGCTGAAGTGACCCAGCCCTGGTTGGGCTGACAGTGTTTTCTTTGTAGGTAATATAAATGGCCTTCCTTTGGATTCACTGGGCTTCGCTTGTGGCTCAGCTGGTAGGGAATCCGCCTGCACTGTGGGAGACCTGGGTTTGATCCCTGGTTTGGGAAGATTCCCCTGGAGAAGGGAAAGGCTACCCACTCCAGTATTCTGGCCTGGAAAATTCCATGGACTGTGTAGTCTATGGGATTGTAAAGAGTCGGACACGACTTGGTGACTTTCACTTTGAGAGGCTTTGGTGAATGATTACACTGTCTGTGTGTCTCTGTGTGTGGATGTGAGTGTGTTTATCTGCATGTGTATGTCTGTTGTCTGTGTGTATATCTCTGCATGTGTGTGTCTCTGTGTGTGTGTCTGTATGTATGCGTGTGTGTCTCTGTGTATCTGTGTGTATGTGTCTGTATGTATCTATGCGTGTGTGTGTCTGTACGTATCTATCTCTGTGTGTATCTCTGTGTGTGTGTCTATGTGTGTGTGTGTGTGTGTCTGTATGTATCTATGTGTGTGTGTGTCTGTGTGTCTGTATGTATCTATCTCTGTGTTTGTGTCTGTATGTATGTGTGTGTGTGTACGTATCTATCTCTGTGTGTGTCTCTGTGTGTGTGTCTGTGTGTGGGGGTCCTTGTGCCTCGTTTCTTCTTTCTTTCACACTTAAAATCCTTGTTGAAATCAAGTGACTCACAGAAGAGGGCACTTGGTTCTTTGGCCTTTAAATACTCACTTTCCTTCCATCCACCCAAAACTGGACAATCTCCTTGGATAGGAAATATTTTCCACAATAGATCTACCCATGCCAGAGTTGTTGTTCTTGTCTTGTCTCCACTCCAGCGTTTGTTGATAACTGAAGACCTTTCCTGTCAAGTGTTGTGGGATTCCTGTGCAAACTGCCGAGAGTGGTGTTTGACAGGAACATGAAAGGACCTCATCTGTCCAGACACTCACTGTAAGGACTGGGGATATGGAAACATTCAGGAATTATTTTTACTTTCTACTACAAAAATACATCTTTATGAAAAACCTGTAAGAGCTCAACTAAAAACAGAAACTTGTTTATTACCCTCCAGGTGGCTCAGTGGTAAAGAAACCACCTGCCAATGCAGACACAGGAGACGTGGGTTTGATCCCTGAGTTGGGAAGATCCCCTGGAGGAGGAAATGGCAGCTCATTTCTAGTACCCTTACTGGGAGGATGGCGTGGACGGCGGAGCCTGGGGGGCTACAGTCCATGGGGTTGCAAAGAGAGGGGCTGAGCATGCCCACATACATCCAGGGAAAATACATGATTGTCCCACGTATGCTGATACAGGCCTGACTGAGGGCGGAGGCGGCAATGAATTGGACAGAGCTGTTTCTTTCAAGGGGATGGGGTGGGGTGGACAGGCCGCCACAGGCCAAGGTGAGGGGGACTGGGTCAAGTAACCCTATGGGATGGTGTTTAACGGGGAGTCACACAAAGGTGCCTGGAGGCCTAAGCTGATGCTGATGGATGCATGGGAATGATTCACCCAGAGGGGCTGGAGAGAGAGGAAAGCCTTCGCAGGCAGAGGGAGCAGGGTGGACAGAGCTCTCCAGGCAGGGAGAACAGTGTGAGGAATCCCGATGTAAGTCCGTGTGGCTGCAGCATCGCATCCAGAAGTGAGGGCTGAGAGCTGAGGTCTCTAGTGGGATGGTTCAAGCAGAGTTGGAACAAGGCTGGGGCAGGAGTGAGCTTGAGACGCTGGAGATGACAGAACTGGTCAGCATGGGGCCTCGGGGAGCCAAGGGCACACGGTGGGAAGACCTGCCCCAGAGCCCTGACCCCAGGGTACAGAGAGCGCGGTAGGCCCTGCGGCTTCCGCTGACCTCACGGCCACCTCCAGCCTGTCCAGCCTGAGGGACAGCTCGGGGTTTTCTCCAAGCCTGTCCTGCTTCCCGTCTCCATCAGCCTAGGAAGTGAAACTGAAACCTCTAGGTGACATCTCAGGGCGGGGTGGCTTTGAGGTCCTCCAGTCCTTTATGGCTCAGAGCAGAAAGAATTCAGCAAGAGGCAAAGTAATAAATAAGGAATGATTTATTAGAATAGGACGCTTGTGAGGCTTACGAGAGGGGGCCGCCCATAGAGCAAAGTGGGCTACAGTTTTGTAACCAGAGGAAAAGTGGGGATGGGGAGAAGACCACCTTCTTCCTCCTTCTTGAGTAGACGCTTCCATCGTCAGCTCCTCCTGCCTGTTGGGTGGGGGAGTTTTGTTCCTCCATGGTCAAGCCAGGACTGTCATGACACTATGGAAAAATTATTTCATATCTCAGTACAGTGAGGGTGTTTCACTCTGAAATGTCACCTTTCCATTAATTACTGTGTATTGTGTGTATAGAGAGTATGTCCTGGGGGCTCATTAACCTACTGAGCTCCCTGGGCAGGATGTGGGTCTCGGGCCACCGTGGTTTTATCGTCCGGGGGCATGTCTTGTGCTTCTGATCCATGGTTTTGTTGCTCAGCAAGCCTACTTGATTTTGTGCTTATGCGAACCTGCTTTCTTGAGTGATCCTTAACTTACAGGGGTCTCCCATACTTTTTTCTATTTATAATCCCCTACTGCAATTAACTCCCTGGAGGAGGCGATGATAACCCACTCCAGTATTGTAGGCTGGAGAATCCCATCGACAGAGGAGCGTGGCGGGCTGCAGTCTATAGGGTTGCAAAGAGTCGGACATGACTAAAGCTACTTAGCAAGCACGCGCTGGGATTAACTATATAATCACCTATGTTGTCCTTTTACTCTGTTCCTATCAAAACCATCCAGTGGCTCCCACAATCCATGACTTCCCCCTTCCCATGTCCCCATCCAGCCATCCAGTCTTCCGGTCCTGTGGCCAGCGGAGAGCTCAGGTTCCTCCTCTCTGCCCTGCTTATTCCCTCATCCTCATCCACACCATTATCTCGTGATTGGATCACTGCCTTGACCTCTTGGTTGATTTCCCACCTTGCAAAATGTCTGTTCATGTCTTTTTTGCCCATTTCCTACTTGGACTATTTGTGTTTCTCACTCTTGAGTCTTGAGAGTTCTTTATAGATTCTAGATATTAGTCCTTTGTTGAATATGTGTTTTGCATGTATTTCCCCACTCTGTAACTTATCTATTCATCTGCTTGACAAAGTCTTGTGCAGAGCAAAAGTTTTAAATTTTGATGCCATCCGGTTTGTTCATCTTCCTTTTATGCATCATGCTTTTCAGTGCCAGTGAAAGAACGCTTTGTCTAGTCTTTGATCCCAGAGATTTCACCTGTGTTTCTTTTTCTAAAAATGCTAGAGTTTAATGAAGTGAAGTGAAGTGAGAGTTGCTCAGCCATGTCCCACTCTTTGCAACCCCACGGACTGTACAGTCCATGGAATTCTCCAGGAGAGAATACTGGAGTGGGTAACCCTTCCCTTCTCCAGCAGATCTTCCCAACCCAGGGATTGAACCCAGGTCTCCCGCATTGCAGGTAGATTCTTTACCATCTGAGCCACAAGGGAAGCTGTGTGATCCCTTTTGAGCTAATTTTTGGTCAGCATGTTTTGGGGAAGGTGGGGCTATAGTCAATTGCTGCGGCACCTTTGTTGAAAGGACTGTGTGTCCTGCACTGAATTACTTTTGCACCTTCGTGAAACCCCCTTGAACACATTCACAGAGTCTGTTTCAAGTTCTGTGTCTCGTTTCCTTGGTTTGTGTGTCTGTCCCCATGCCAGTATCATACCGTCTTGCTCACTGTACTCATGTAATAATACTTGAAATGGGTAGACTGGAGTCCTCTCATTTTATTGTTTTTCATGTTGTTTTAGCTATTCTTGTTCCTTTGTGGCCTTATATAGTTAGAATAATCTTATATGTATGTATAAAACAATTCTGAGATTTTTTTATGGGAGTTGCAATAAATCTGTATATCAGTTTGGGGAGAATCTGTATCTTTCCTATGTTGAGTCTTTGAATCCATGTATATGTTTTCCAATCCATGCATCCATTTACTTACCTCTTTGAATTCTTTTATTAGCATTTTGTAGTTTTCAGCATATAGGTTGTATATATATTTTATTAGATTTATACTTAAGTATTTCACTTCTTTGAATGATTGTAAATGCTACTGTATTTTAAGTGTGTGTCTACTTGTTCATGAATACAATTGATGTTTGTATTTCCTAGAGATGACCTATCATGTCATCTGCAAATATGGACAATTTTATTTCTTCACTTCTAGACTGTCTGCCTTTTATTGACTGTTGTACTAGTTAGAGTTTCCAGTACCAGACCCAGTAACATTATGAAGGTGGACATCCATGCTTTGTTCCCAGTTTAGTATTTCACCATTAATACAATATTCGTTTCTGTAGATATTCTTTATCAAGTTGATGAAGTTCCCTCTATCTTAGTTTTCTGAGTTTTTTTTTTTTCATTTATTTTTATTAGTTGGAGGCTAATTACTTTACATCATTGCAGTGGTTTTTGTCATAGATTGAAATGAATTAGCCATGGATTTACATGTATTCCCCATCCCGGTCCCCCCTCCCACCTCCCTCTCCACCTGATCCCTCTGGGTCTTCACAATGCACCAGGCCCGAGCACTTGTCTCATGCATCCAACCTGGGCTGGTGATCTGTTTCACCCTAGATAATATACGTGTTTTGATGCTGTTCTCTTGAAACATCCCACCCTCGCCTTCTCCCAGAGTCCACAAGTCTGTTCTATACATTGGAGTCTCTTTTTCTGTTTTGCATATAGGGTTATCATTACCATCTTTCTAAATTCCATATATATGTGTTAGTATACTGTAATGGTCTTTATCTTTCTGGCTTACTTCGCTCTGTATAATGGGCTCCAGTTTCATCCATCTCATTAGAACTGATTCAAATGAATTCTTTTTAATGGCTGAGTAATATTCCATGGTGTAAATGTACCACAGCTTCCTTATCCATTCATCTGCTGATGGGCATCTAGGTTGCTTCCATGTCCTGGCTATTATAAACAGTGCTGCGATGAACATTGGGGTGCACGTGTCTCTTTCAGATCTGGTTTCCTCGGTGTGTATGCCCAGAAGTGGGATTGCTGGGTCATATGGCAGTTCTATTTCCAGCTTTTTAAGAAATCTCCACACTGTTTTCCATAGTGGCTGTACTAATTTGCATTCCCACCAACAATGTAAGAGGGTTCCCTTTTCTCCACACCCTCTCCAGCATTTATTGCTTGTAGACTTTTGGATAGCAGCCATCCTGACTGGTGTGTAATGGTACCTCATTGTGGTTTTGATTTGCATTTCTCTGATAATGAGTGATGTTGAGCATCTTTTCATGTGTTTGTTAGCCATCTGTATGTCTTCCTTGGAGAAATGTCTGTTCAGTTCTTTGGCCCATTTTTTGATTGGGTCATTTATTTTTCTGGAGTTGAGCTGGAGGAGTTGCTTGTATATTTTTGAGATTAATCCTTTGTCTGTTGCTTCGTTTGCTATTATTTTCTCCCAATCTGAGGGCTGTCTTTTCACCTTGCTTATAGTTTCCTTTGTTGTGCAAAAGCTTTTAAGTTTCATTAGGTCCCATTTGTTTATTTTTGCTTTTATTTCTAAAATTCTGGGATGTGGGTCATAGAGGATCCTGCTGTGATTTATGTCGGAGAGTGTTTTGCCTATGTTCTCTTCTAGGAGTTTTATAGTTTCTGGTCTTACATTTAGATCTTTAATCCATTTTGAGTTTATTTTTGTGTATGGTGTTAGAAAGTGTTCTAGTTTCATTCTTTTACAGGTGGTTGACCAGTTTTCCCAGCACCACTTGTTAAAGAGGTTGTCTTTTTTCGATTGTATATCCTTGCCTCCTTTGTCAAAGATAAGGTGACCATAGGTTCGTGGATTTATCTCTGGGCTTTCTATTCTGTTCCATTGATCTATATTTCTGTCTTTGTGCCAGTACCATACTGTCTTGATGACTGTGGCTTTGTAGTATAGTCTGAAGTCAGGCAGATTGATTCCTCCAGTTCCATTCTTCTTTCTCAGGATTACTTTGGCTATTCGAGGTTTTTTGTATTTCCATATTTTTTTTTTTAAATCATGACTGGGTATTGAATTTTGTCAAATTTTTTTTTCATGAGGTGGTGTAATTTCTGTTTTGTAGCCTGTTAATGTGATGTATTACATTAGCTTAAATGAATGGGTTCAATTTGCTATTTTGCAGTTGGAATCATGTTTAGTTTCTAAATTTCCAGACATTGAGCTGGAGTATTATGTTTCCCTCAGTTACAAGAAACAAAACTTCACTTTTCACTTGTTAATCTGGGGATATTAATCCTTGTTTAAATGACTGCAAATGTTTAAAATGTTAATGTTATTAATGGACATTCAGTTGAACCAGTGATTTTGAGGTTGATGTATATTTTTCTAAGCCTTCTAATCAGGAGAGTTCAGTTGCTGAATCACCCATTTCAAGAAAGTCTGTTTTCAGTTAATAATCAACTTCTATCCCAGTTTTTACTGCTGTCATGGGAACAAAAGTTGTAAATTACTGAGTTATCTCGGACCCTTGAATTTGGAAATGTTTAAGGAGCAGCTTAGATGTCGTATCCTTCTTTGAGGTGCTGGGAAAGCATCCCGAAATATTTTTGCAGGCCTTTAGCTGGAAGGCTCACTAATTTTTCCATAAAATTAAACATGGGAGAGAATATTTCTTTTCTTATTTATTGTATGATCTAGTTTACTCATGGATAACAGGCACGGGATTTGTAATTTGGAAATAGGCCTGACATTTTTTAATGTACTAGACACCTGTCTCTTTTCACATTCTTTCCCTCACCACAGATGGCTTTGAGCCTTTGCTATTCTCTTTTATAAACCTTTTGTAACATGAGTGTTTCGAGTTATATTTTATTGAGGGCAAAATGAGGACTATAGCCTGGGAGATAGCTGCTCAGATAGCTCTGAGAAACTGCTCTGAAGAGGTAGGGGTGGAATCAGTGTATATGTGATTTTGGTGAAGAGGGAATGCATGCAGTCAAGCACGTATTTTTTGCAGATTTCTGCTAGTCATGAGAAACAGTCATCACCATAAGGATTTCAGTGCTTTTCTAGATAGGAGGAGATACAAGAATTGGGCTCATAAAATCAGCTCCTGAGAATATCTATCTGAAGACCTATCCTGCCAGTTTTCCCAGAGCTCAGAGTGCCTCATTCCTGGTCTCCACGCTGATCTCCTTCAGGGGGTGTTGAAGGTCAGCAGCTGCAGCCTGTGACCTAATGCTTGTAGAGGTACATATGGCAAGAGCCGATTTGTAGCTGACGGCTCCTCTGCAAGCTTGCGGCCCTCACCTGTTTTAACCAGCATCTTGTAGCCAAGCCGCGCCAGACATGTTTTGGCAGCTTTCTGTGATCAGAAACTTCTTCTAGGAGGAAATACTGTGAAGTGCAGTGGATAGACACAGAATATATTTTCATAATCACTAAAACTGT